GTTCGTATTGAATTGCAGAGCTGTTTTTGGGGTGCTCGTCAGAGACCATTTTGGTGGAGAGATCATTGATGAAGTGTTCAACGGATTTAAAGTGACAGTGGTGCAGTCTGTGTTAGAAATTTTAAGTGAGCTTCTTCTAATTGTATTTAGTTTTTCTTAAAATGGGTCAAATGGAAAACGATAAAACCCAATAAAATTATGTCCAAATGGGTTTATGTTTTATTTTAATTTTATATATTGTGATCTAAACAAGTGTAAAGCTTGGAATTAAATGATAGATTACTTGATGGAGATATTCAAAATATTATTATAAAAGTGTTGGGTTTTTTTTTTTTTCATTCAAAAAATCATATCTCTATAAATAATAAAGTTAAAGAGTTATGACTTATTGATTGTTATTATACAAAAGTTAAATAGGAAGAGAAGATTTAACCTTTAATTATTTTGTTTATTTTTGTTCCTTTTTTTGTAGGCTCATAGATCAATGGCTTCCAATAATAATATTTGATTTTTGTTATTTAATTATTTAAGTATGATCTTTAAATTTTAATTTGTGTTATATTTATATTAACAAATTTTTATATGTGATATCGATGTTATCACAAATTAGATCTAAAACCCATAAAATATATTAGAAACATTCGCATACATTATTTATTCTATTGTAATTATGTGAAAGTTATGATTAATAATTTTTTTATCTAAGATATAATTTAGTCCGGTTATAATTGATTTTTTCACTTATCTATTTTATTGTGATCAAAATCATGATCCCCTGTATTTTTTAATAATATGCTCAATGTTGACGACATGGTTTCGTGATTCTCTTTTGGACTCGCTGTTCATGATTCTTTATTATATTGGAGAAAGGACAAAATAAGGGAAAAAGGTCACAGATAGAAGTTGAGGGACAAATGCTGCAATTTTACCTTTTAAGAAATTGCATAGTAATCCAAACTCCGACACTGAGTTGTTTTCAAAATTGGTCAGGGTGTCGATACTTATTTAGTTGTCAGCAATTTTACAAGTTTGACATAGACTTAAATTTTAATTGTGTGAGAGTGTTGACATCCGGTTTAGGAGTTGATACTTGGGCAAATTTTCAATGAATTATTTTCACTTAGACAACATATAATTAAACCTTTAAAATATATTAATTTTATGGTTATGAAAGGTTTGTCTCATTTAGGTGATTTGCAAATTGATATGAATGACACTACCAAAGTAGGTCATTTATGGATGATGTATGTGAATTATCTAAGAAGGATTTTGAAATGGTTATTTTCTAAATTAGTGCAAATAATTACTTGCCCAAAAGGGGTATATTGTGGGTACTAGTTTGGAAAATGTGAGTAGTTAGTGAGTGTTATAATTTAACCTTATGGAGACATGTTTGCCCAAATGGGATATTATCTGTGAAGTTAGCTTTACTAATTTACCTGCTAGGAAGTTTAGGTGTATTCTATATATTCTGCCCAAAGGGGAATATATGGTGATGTATTTGAATTTTTGAAGGATTTAGTATTGATATTATTATTATTGCCCATGTAATCTAAATAAGTGTCAAATTTTTGCTACATAGTTAGTCAAATTGAAGTAAATAATCAAGTTTGCACCATAAAGACTCTAAATGGAAATAACTTCATTGCCTAGAAGAATGATATAGGGCTAGCATTAGGTCTAGCTTATCTTAACAGGGCCTTGTTTGAGGATGAGCTTGCTAAACTTGAAGTTGAGAGTTCAACTGAGTAGAAAGCTCATTATCACAAGTGAGAAAGGGCTAATAGGCTGAGTATAATGGTTATGAAGAAATCTATTTCTTCATCCTTCAAGGTGAGAGTTCCAAATGAGACAAATGCAAAGAAATTCCTTCATGCTATTGGGCAGTGATTCCAAGAGTTTGAAAAGGTTGAGACTGGGGAACTAATGCAGAAGTTATGCAATATGCAGTATGATGGTGTATTTGGGATCAGGGCTCATATTTTGAATATGCAAGACATTTCCAATCATCTCAATAGTCTCAAAGTGACCATAATTGAACCTTTCCTAGTTCACTAAGCCTTAAATTCCCTTCCAACATCTTTTGCCAAATTAGAACCATATACAATGCTCAAAAGGAAACCTAGAATGTGAACCAACTTATTTCTATTTGTGTTCAAGAAGAAGAAAACCAAAAGAAACAAAAGGCAGAGAGTGTGAATTTGGTGTATTAGCCACATTCATGTAAAGATAGTCATAGCAAAGGATATCCTCACAAACACAAGAGGTCTGGGTTCAATAACAAAGTCAAGGGTAGGAAGTTTGATAAGAAACCTAGTTATAAACCCAATGTAGTAGGGCCTAAAGTTGACATCAAGAAAATTGAAGTCTATTGGTTTTATCGTGATGGAGGTCATAGGAAAAGGGATTGTGTGCAATATAGGGCTTGGTTAGAAAAGAGAAACAAAAAAGGTAATTTACAAACCTTTGCCTGTCTTGAAACTTCCTTCATAGATATTCCTCCTAATTCTTGGTGGTTAGATAGTGGGAGTCCTATTCATATTTCTAATTCCTTGCAGGGGTTTGTAAACAAAAGGAAAACAAATAAGGGAGAAATCAATCTGCATGTAGGAAACGGAGTCAAAGTCAAAGTTAAGGGACAAAAAAATGCATATATTAGAAATTGATAGAGTAAAAATATATAAATTCAAATAGACTTAATGGACTAATTGAAAAAATGACTAAAAAAATACATTTTTTATAGTTAAAAGATAAAAAAAATACATAAAAAAATTAAAAAATAAAAATTATGTAAAACTTTAAAATTGAGAGATTAAAATTAACATTTAACCAGGTATCTTTGACTATTCTAAAGGATCACCATTCCTAATCTGTGATGATTTTCTTTATTCTCCAAATCAATCAAGAATAAGCAATCTATAACAACACCAAGTTAAATAATCTTTAATAATTCAAAGTGGAATGACTCACTTTCAATTACCACCTCAACCTAAAACAAAAAAACATCCCACAAACAAATGTTTAACTTATCCTCACAACCAAACATCAACTGAGTTGATTCCCTCTCAAAGCAAGCTCTACTTGGTAGTTATAGTCGTACAATTATTGAGCCACTTGTTTGATTGGCTTAGCAATTATTCAGTTGACCATAGGCCAAAAAAGGAAAAAAAAACATTTTAATTTGGGTTATGGACCCTCCTTGGTACGTATGGTCATAAAATTATTGAGCAACTTGTTTGATTGGCTTAGCAATCATTCAGCAGACCATTGATCAAAAAAAGAAAAAAGAAAAAAAAAAGAAATCATTCAGCCGACCATTGGCCCCCAAAAAAAAAAAAAAAATCATTTAGCAGACCCACATGTCCTTACTGATCCCTGCGATTTCCTTGAATTAATTTCTCCTCGCCACTCGTCATCCTCTTTATTGCCCGAGGGCTCATTTCTTCTTTCTTCGGATGAAAGAGGCCCCATTTCTTAACTTTCTTAATTTATTGATGCATTTTCTTCAGTCATTTTTATTGAAGCAAAAGCAAGTTGTCTTGGGCGCTTGACCTTTTCGCTCTATAAAACCTGGCATGTGAAGTCAAGCAATGCAGAGAGTGTGAATAAAGTAGAGGTGAGGAGGTACGTAGATGCTCAGGGAAATCTTTAGTTAGAGTGAGTGTGAGCTCACATTTTTTGTTTATTTTGGTTTTAAATTCTTGTCTTTGTGTCAACAAAATGAGGATTTAAATTCTTGTTAAACCAAGCTATATGTTTGTGATTATGTGAATTTCATATCAAAGAGAAAGTGTATAACACCCCACATACCTTAGTGAATAATTTAAAAATTAGTGTCCTTTAATTTATAGTTTTAAGGATTAAATTGATTGAATTTAAAGTTTGGGGGTTTTAAGTAAAATTTAGGAGAAGTTGAATGACCTTAACTCAATTATCTCAATTTTACTTACCACATGGCATTTTCCCAACCAAGTTTTTTGGTCTTTGTCGGTGGAAGCTTGGATAAGCCTCCAAAAGGCTCCCAAAAGCCTCATTTGGTTTTCGTATGCCTTCCTTTTCCACCTACATCATTTTCTTCCTTCTTTCTCCAGCCAAGGTTAAGGTGCTTTTGTTAGGTAAGTATAAGTTTTAGTTATGAATTTTGAGTTAGAGTTTTGGGTAGTTTAAATTGGTGAGATTTGATTTTAATCCTTTGGTTTATAAGATTTTTGGGTATTAAACTTTTATTAGAAATATCCTTAATTTTGGGGCTTCTATGGCAAAGATAGTGAGTTAGTCCTTTCTATGGTTTGATTTGGGTGTTATTTTTGCTACAGGAATTAGAAGGAAATTGTATTATTTGCGAAATACTGTTCATGATTACTGTTCACGATTGCTGTTCACGATTACTGTTCACAATTACTGTTCACGCATTATGCTTTGATCTCTTCCAATAGGGAGTCCTAATATTATTTTGGACATATTATGAATTTGTTTGACATGCGTATGTGTTTGTGGCTATGGAGTAAGCGGACCTAAGCTTAAAGCTTGGGGTATTCAGTGGACCCTTCGGGGTATTTAATGGACCTCTGCGCAGTAAGGTTAGTACCGTGATTAGCTCCGGTACAGTGTTGCTAGCACACCTCAGTAGACTCCATAGCATTGTGTGATTTTCAATTTTATGCATTGCGCTTGTGACATCGTATTTGTGAGCATATGATTTTAGTATATGAATTCAATTTAAATGTCATTGATTATTACTTGACATTTGTGCTTATGATTTGAGAATTATAATATTATGTGATTTGATTCCGTTGTGTCTTGTGCTCTTTGTGTGGATAGGTCTAAAGGTCTTAGGACCCAAGTTTATAGCCTAAACTTATTACTTACTGGGCTGTGAGCTCATAAAATCCCCCCCCATTTCAGGTTAGTAGATCGAGATAGCAGCATCTCGGTTTAGGAGCTTTTGGCACGGGACTTGCATGCTCGTTGTATGTACAAGCTAGGGCCTCGTGTTTTCGATAAGGAGGCAGATCGATGTATTACCAAAACAATGACTCAGCTTTGGTTTTTTTGAAAAGCTTTGAAGAAGAATTTGCCTCGTATAATTTTTGTGTAAATTACCTTTATGTATAAATCTTTAAATTAATTATAAACGAGCTTAACTCAGTTTATCTTATTACTTTGAATATATTGGCATTTTCCAATATATATATGATATTCTTTTTATTAAATTGATTTTCTGAATGTAAGCTTTCTTTTGAAGAAATATTTTATATCATAAGTGTTTTTTTTACTTTTGCTGCAATTTTTATTATAAATTTTGTTTTCGAACTCTTCTAGGACTAAGAGTGCCTAGGGAGGTGTGTTATATTTTTGGTATCAGAGCCAAGGTTTTGCTAATATATTGATCTGCCATATGAGTTAGAGTCTAGTGTCATAGGATTAGATTTTGCCTAACTATTAGTTTTGCACCCTTTGTTTGTATCAGTACCAGAGAAGGAAGATGAGTCAAGGAGACAATACTTCTACTCTTCCTCCTGCTGATGATGTGAATGCCCGAATGGACATTATGCAAAAGGCCATTACGGATATGAGTTCCATCTTTAGGGATTACCTTCAACATCAGAACAACAATAATGCCCCACAAAACACTGGTGGCAATTCACAGCAAACAGTGGACTCTAGAGAAGGAAATGAGCAGTTGACATTGGTGAAGCAATTTCAGAACATGAACCCGCCTAACTTCAAGGGGGTTCCTGATCCTGATGTGGCTGAGTCTTGGGTTAAGAAATTAAAAAAAATGTTCAAGCTCCTAAAATGTACTGATGGGCAAAAAGTGGAGCTAGTAGTGTTCACATTAGAAGGTGAAGCTGATGATTGGTGGATAGCTGCTTAAGATGGGTTTTCTAAGAGAGGGGAGGAGGTTACATGGGACAAGTTTGTTCAGGCCTTCTATTGAAAATATTTTTCTGCAGCTATGTTGGAAAGAAAGGAGTTGGAGTTCATGAATTTGAAGCAAGATGACATGACAGTTGATGAGTATCAAGCTAAATTCAGTTCTCTTATGAAGTTTGCTCCTCACCTTGTTAATGATGAAGTTAGAAAGGTAAGGAAGTTTCAAAGAGGGTTGAAAGCTTCCATTAGGAACAAGGTGGTTCCTCAAATGCTAAAGACTTATGATGAGGTCTTGCCCACGGCTCAAATAATTGAGCAAGATATGGAGGAGCAAAGAATGGAGACTCATGACTCAAAAGGCAAGGGAAAGGCTATCAACACCCAGCTTTTCAACAAAAAGCCTGAACAAAGGGGAAAAAGGAAGATCCTCGAAAGCAACAGACCAAGTTTTGATTTTTGTAAGAGGTGCGGTAAGAACCATGGGGGAAAAGAATGTTATTGGCAGATTGGGGCATGTTTCAAGTGTGGGAAGACTGACCACTTGATCAAGGATTGCTCGGTTCTCAAGGGAGCAAGTCAGCAGCCAAAGGATCAAGATAATAAGAAGCCCAGGGTTCAAGGAAGAGTTTTTTCCATCACAGAACAACAAGCTCAAAACACTCCTACAGTTATAAAAGGTAAAATACCTATCTCTTTTGGGAATGCCTATGTGTTGATTGACTCTGGATCTACCCACTCATTTGTGTCACCTAAGTATGTGTCATTTTTGCATGTGAAGCCTGAGACTCTTGATTGTGTGCTTGTGGTGAATACTCCTTCTAAGGAGGTTTTGACATCAAAAACCATTTATAGATCTTGTAGAGTTATGGTAGAGGGTAGAGTTTTGCTTGCCGATCTGATTTTGTTAGGTATAGTGGAATTTGATGTCATACTTGGTATGGATTGGTTGTCTACCCATTATGCCATGGTTGATTGTTATGAGAAGGTGGTTACTTTCTCCGCTCCTAACTAGCCTATGATTCGGTTTGAAGGAGAAAAAGTTGGATCATTTCCATTACTTGTTTCTTGCATGCAAGCTGATAAAATGTTGCAGCATGAGTGTTATGGATATCTAGCATATGTTTTTGAATCTAAAGACAAGCCGGTGTTTGTAGAAGGAATTTGGGTAGTGGAAGACTTTCCTAATGTTTTCTCTAAGGAGTTGCCTGGGCTACCTCCAAATAGGGAGATTGAGTTTACTATAGACCTTGTGCCTGGTACTGCACCAATATCCCAACAACCTTATAGAATGGCCCCAGCATAATTAATTGAATTGAAAAAGCAATTGCAAGAGCTTCTTGATAAGGGGTTCATTAGACTTAGTACTTCTCCCTGGGGTGCTCCGGTTCTTTTTGTGAAAAAGAAAGATGGCTCACTTAGATTGTGCATTGACTATAGACGGTTGAATCAAGTCACTGTCAAGAATAAATATCCTTTGCCAAGGATTGATGATTTGTTTGATCAGTTACAAGGGGCTCGTGTCTTTTCCAAAATTGATCTTAGATCTGGTTATTATCAACTAAAGATTAAACCTGAGGATGTGATGAAGACTGCTTTTAGGAGCAGATATGGGCACTACGAGTTCCTGGTAATGCCATTTGGTTTAACCAATGCCCCTGCAGCTTTTATGGATCTTATGAATAGAATCTTTCAGTTGTACTTAGATAAGTTTGTCATCGTCTTCATTGATGACATTCTTATCTTTTCTCCTGATGAAGAGAGCCACAAGGAGCATCTAGCTATTATATTGCAGATTTTGCGAGAAAAGAAGTTATATGCCAAGTTTGATAAGTGTGAGTTTTGGCTGAATCATATTAGTTTTCTGGGTCATATTGTCTCGAAGGATGGCATATCAGTTGATCCTAGTAAAGTGGAAGCAGTTGTGAAGTGGGAAAGGCCAACTAGTGTCACCGAAGTGCGGAGTTTTCTTGGACTAGCAGGATATTATATAAGGTTTGTGGAGGGATATTCAAAGATTTCTGGTCCGTTAACACAACTTACTCGTAAGAATCAGAAGTTTGAATGGACAGATAAATGTGAGCAAAGCTTTCAAGAGTTGAAGAACAGATTGGTCATTGCACCAATTCTTGCTATTCCTGACAATGGAGGAAACTTTGTGGTATATACCGATGCTTCTCATAAAGGCTTGGGTTGTGTACTTATGCAACATGGACGAGTGATAGCTTATGGGTCTAGATAGCTCAATACACATGAGAGGAATTACCCTACACATGATTTAGAATTTGCTGCCATAATTTTTGCACTTAAGTTATGGAGGCACTATTTGTATGGAGAAGAGTTTGAGGTGCACACTAATCACCAAAGCTTGAAATATTTATTTTCACAAAAAGAGCTTAATTTGAGACAAAGAAGATGGATGGAGTATCTGAATGACTATCGATGCAAAATTGTCTATCAACTTGGAAAGGGAAATGTGGTTGCAGATGCACTTAGCAGAAAATCAACTGGCACTTTAGCAAGCTTAATGGTGATGGAGTTGAAACTCCTAGAAGAATTCAAGAATTTGAATGTCAGGTTTTTGCCACCAAAGTCTAATGTACTAGTGTCTAGTCTGATTGTTCAACCTACGCTGTTGTCAAAGATCAAGGAAGCACAACAGAAAGATTCAAAATTGATGGAGTGGATGAAGGATAGTGGAGAAAGCTCCAAAATGGGTCTTCATATTTTGGATGATGGAATCATAAGACTTGGAGATAGAATTTGTGTTCCATATGATGAAGGGTTGAGGACGGAATTGCTCCAAGAAGCACACAAGTCCAATTATACCATTCATCCTGGGAGTACCAAAATGTATCATGACTTAAAAGAGACATTTTGGTGGAAAAGCATGAAAAAGGATGTGGCTAAATATGTGTCCAAATGCTTGACTTGTCAAGTGGTAAAAGTAGAGCACCGGAAGCCAGGAGGGCAACTTCAACCTTTGCCTATACCGGAGTGGAAGTGGGAAGCCATCTCAATGGACTTCATTGTGGGATTGCCGAAGACGAGAAGGCAATTTGATGCAATTTGGGTGATTGTGGATAGATTAACAAAGTCAGCTCACTTTTTGGCCATAAAACAAAAAGACCCATTAGACAAGTTGGCCAAGCTTTATGTTCAGGAGATTGTTAAACTCCATGGGGTCCCAGTGAGCATTGTATCAGACAAAGACCCAAGGTTTACTGCGAGATTTTGGAGATCTTTTCAAAAAGCCATGGGAACTCAATTGAAATTAAGCACAGCATACCACCCACAAACCGATGGGCAGTCTGAGAGGACTATTCAAGTGCTTGAAGACATGCTAAGAGCTTGTGCATTAGATTTGCCTGAGAGTTGGGATAATCATCTTCCATTGGCAGAGTTTGCTTATAGTAATAGCTATCACTCTAGTATCAAAATGGCACCTTAGGAGGCTCTTTATGGCAGGAGATGTAGAACTCCAATTTGTTGGGCAGAAGTTGGCTATGAAAGAGTAATGGAGCTTGATTTTGTGCAGCAAACAACAGAAAAGGTGAAATTAATTCAGCAGAGACTTAAAGTGGCTCAAGACAGACAAAAGAGTTATGCAGACAATAGAAGGAGACCTCTGGAATTTGAAGTTGGAGATCATGTATTTTTGAAGGTGTCACCAACTAAGGGAGTGTATCGGTTTGGTTTGAAAGGAAAACTCAGTCCGAGGTACATTGGCCCGTTTGAGATTCTTGAAAGGGTAGGTGAAGTGGCTTATAGAATTGCATTACCTCCAGAATTGTCAAATGTGCATAATGTATTTCATGTGTCGGTTTTGAGGAAGTATGAGTCGGATCCTTCACATGTCATAAACTTTGAACCATTAGAGTTGAAGGAAGATTTGAGTTACACCGAACAACCAATACAGATTTTGGATAGGAAAGAAAAAGTTTTGAGGAACAAGACTGTGTCCTTAGTGAAAGTGTTGTGGTGGCATCATTCTGAGAATGAAGCTACATAGGAACTTGAAAGTCAAATGAGGGGGCAGTATCCAAATCTATTTTGGTAAGCTAAATGATTTGGTGGGCCAAATCCTTTTAAGGTGGGAAGGATGTAACACCCCACATACCTTAGTGAATAATTTAAAAATTAGTGTCCTTTAGTTTATAGTTTTAGGGATTAAATTGATTGAATTTAAAGTTTGAGGGTTTTAAGTAGAATTTAGGAGAAGTTGAATGACCATAACTCAATTATCCCAATTTTACTTACCACATGGCATTTTCCCAACCAAGTTTTTTGGTCTTTGTCGGTGGAAGCTTGGATAAGCCTCTAGAAGGCTCCCAAAAGCCTCATTTGGTTTTCCTATGCCTTCCTTTTCCACCTACATCATTTTCTTCCTTCTTTCTCCAACCAAGGTTAAGGTGCTTTTGTTAGGTAAGTATAAGTTTTAGTTATGAATTTTGGGTTAGAGTTTTGGGTAGTTTAAATTGGTGAGATTTGATTTTAATCCTTTGGTTTATAAGATTTTTGGGTATTAAACTTTTATTAGAAATATCCTT